CCTCTGAGCACCAGGCCGCACTCCTGTGCTGTGCGGGTGAGGGAGCCCTGGCACAGGCTGCCCAGAGGCCGTGGGGCCTCCTCCCTGGAGACCTTCAGAGGCCGCCTGGACGTGGGCCTGGGCAGCCTGCGCTGGGTGGCCCTGCGTGAGCAGGGGTTGGGGCAGGTGGACCCAGAGGCCCTGCCAGCCCCAACCATCCTGCAAGTCCACCTTTCTGTATGAGCAAACACAGCGTTCCCAGCTGGCGGAGTTCTGCCCTGGGTATTGTCATCTGCCGGGGTGTTGTTCATTGCAGTGTCCCCAGTGTGTCATCCTTTGCCTGGCCGTGAGCTAGGCCTTTCAGCAGTCACTGAATAGTCTCAGAACAAGGACTGGAGACACTGTGCATTTTTTTTGAAACATTCTGGCTCTGTAAAGAAGCTAGCAGCATGAGCAGCCCCTCACCTTTCCTATGGTTCCTGGCTGCCCATCATGCTTGTTTCGTAACCCCAATATTTGGAGGATGTGCACAGGAGCTATGCAGGGCTCCATTCACCATTTCAAATCAAACTCAGCATAAGTGGCATTTCTTCATTCTTGCAGGAGATTTTTAAAAACAATTAATAACTGCCAAAATAGCAGGAAAACAATTAAATAGTGTTTGCCCTGTAGGTGATGATTCCTACTTGATGTTTGCTACCTGCTGATGATAATGAAGATGATTTCTTCTCATCTCTCAGTGCAGCGGGCAACTGGCACCTCACCAGCTCGAAATTGGTGCTTTTCTTACACAACTGGGGGCATGAGACAAAGAAAACTTTTTGTGCCATAATTATCTCTAGAGATAAATAACTCCAAGCAGGGATGATTTGCCATTAGGAAAGCAAAGTAGGAACTTTACAATTCAAGAACATTTCCTTCACATTTTTCTTCTTTGGTAAGTACCTAAGGTAGCCTAACAAGCACTGCAGGAGGAAAAATAAAAATGTAATGCTAGAAATGGGCCTTTTTATAAACCACTTTAAGGCACAGGTTACTATGACATGGAAGCTGCTGGGGATGTGGAGGGGCCAGGGAAGGATTGTGCATAAAAAGCTGGAGCTGTTTAACAGAAGTGAATAACACATACAGAAAAACTGAGAGGAAGACCATGGTCAGAGGGTAAGCAAATTGCTGATGTACAGGTCAGCAATGTGACATAAGGAGTTACAATCCTTACTCAAAGCCATTCATTTTGATCTTTCTCTCTCCTCTAGAGAACAGGCATGTTTTGCCATCAGGAACCATAAGTTTAGCTCACCATCCATTCAATTTAGACTGAGAAAAAAAAAAAAAAAAAAAAAGTCATTTACCAAAGTCCTGAGAAGTAGAAGAGGAAGTAAGTCTAGTTCTGAAGTCTGCAGACACTCTTTGTGCACCTTGATTTGTACAAGAAAGTATCAGTTGTGGAAAAATGGGTATCTGAGAAAATAAAGGGGATGAGTAGCTATTAAAATTCTCTCAGCACCTGAACAAATATTTGCAAGAGGAATGCTTCATGAAGAAAAGCATTAAAAACTGCATTCACCATAGCAGTCATGAGGTTGCAAGAGGGCCTGATCATAGTCAGCAGATGTCTGCCACATTCTTCTCTGCATACACACAGCGAGGGTACATTTGATGGCACAGCAGCTTAAATTCAGACCACTGGCACACAGTGGTTCATCCACATCTTCCTGGTATCCTCTAACCATGAGGTCCCATGAAAGGCAGTGACCTGCAGGTCTGCCTTCTGGCCAAGTGCATTTGTGAGTGTGGGCTGTGCAAGCTCCTGCTTTTAAGGGAAATAGTGCCAAATGCTGCTAGAATCCATATGAATATCTGTCTATTTGCCTGGTCCTGCCTGAAATAACCTATTCCAAGCTGCAAAACGGCTGTGATAAGCTGTGGTGCATGACTGTGGGCTGTGCTCTCGCAGGCTCTGGGGCAGCAGGGATGGAGAAGCAGGTGGCACCACGATTCCCAAAAGCACTGGAAGAGGGGCCACGACTGGTGTGACAGGGATGTATGTCTCCAGTGGCTGCACTTTGATACCTGCATGTTGGTTTTAATTCAGAGCATACGGGACCTTTATTTGACCTGGGCAACACTGAAATATACTCATAATTTTCCCCCCACTAAGTGCTGTATTTTTAGGCACCTGCCTTTTTATATCCACATTATTACAGAGGTTGCAAGAATAATGACAGAAGTAGCAAAGGAGGATTTGGACGTTATTTTAGTGTCACATTTTTGTTTATGAACTAGGATGTGCTGCTGTGGGAGCACGCAGGGAGCTGGCATTCAAGAGAGACGACGTGGGAGCACACATAGGGTGTGGGAAGTGGCTGCAGGATGGCTGCACCGGGACTCCGCAGTCGTGGGAGGGAGAAGTGCTCAGCACGATGTGCTTCGGGAGTCAGTCAGCCTGAGGCGAGGGGAGAAATGAAGCTGAGTGCTTTCTGGGAAAATAAATCTGGGGGAAATAAACCTGTCAAAGCAGTTGGTGGGGGAAAGTAACCTCAAGACTGTGAAAGGTACAGAAAAAAAATAAATAAATATATATATATATATCAAGGTGACATGCAGCTGGAAGAGATGACAGAAAGACAAAAGAATGAGAAAACCAGGGAGAAAGGGGAAGAAGAGAAAGGCTTAAGAGATTTGTGGGCATTCTACACGTGAAATATATTGTTTGAATCTTTGCTTTCCAATTTGTGTGCCACATCTGGGTAGGAGCTTGCCTTTTGATGCCTTTGCTGCCAATTGTCAAAGTAAGGTGTTAGGATAGGATTTTTCTCTCCAAACTCTAGAAACTAATGATGCAAAAAAAGGGAGACTCCATGGTTTCTTTTAGTTTGCCACCTATCTATTCCATTTATACTTTCTGTTGAATTATCTGAATTAAAGAAACTGGGAGGACTCCACGATTCTCCAGCAAAGAAATGACACCTTTCAGAGCCAGGGAAAATGCCACAAAGATGCACACACATTGCAAAGGTGCTGAAGTCTCTTGTGTCATGAGACCAGGCAGATGACAAAATGGCTGGATTGCAATATTTTAGTTTGAAACTTGATTCCTACTCCTTGCTAGAATCTGGCTTTGGGAGCTAGGTCAAAGAGCTAATACAAAAAAAGTGCACAGGGGGCAACTGAGGGGAAGGACGATAAGTGCACAGAGCCAGCCTTGTGCAAAAGGAAATGTGTCCTTTATGGCAAGCTTCTGACCCTTCCCTGGCTGCCTTCTGACCGTCACTCCATCGGGACCTTCTTGTCCTCCCTGCCTCTGTCATCACCTCCAAATTGTGTTCCCTGACAGTGCTGAGTGGGGCATCCATCAGGGAGCCTGCTCCTCTCAGCCCCAGGTGCTGGAGGCTGCAGGGGACCCATGGTCTGATTAAGGCATTGCCAAAAATGGCTTTTGCCTCTCATCCGAAACCACTGTCCTCAGACTGAGTCAGTGGGAGTGGGTGAGTGGTGCACGTACTGCTCAACAAGCTCTAAAGGTACTGGGAAAATGACTCCTGAAAAAAAGAAACTGCTTTTTAAAGTGGATACGGAAGCGTGAAGGAGGCTGTCTGTGTACAGCACACAGTCAGCAATAGTCACGTCCAGCATATCACTAAAATGTGATTTTTTTCTTACGTAAGTAACTTTTAAAACTATGTCCTATAACAAAACCAGAAGTTCAAATAGTATAAAACATTTTTTAATATTTTTTTTTCTCCTCTTGTGGTTCCACATAAATCCAAAAGCAGCTGCGTTTGTTCCCTCAGTTTCAACAGGCAGGACAGGTTGGTAGAGGGTTTCATCCTGCAGCCTTAGGTGAAGTAAACTTTTCATTTCATTTCATTGTTACCAACTAAATCCCATAATTTAATTCAGTGGTTCGCAAAAGGTCAGAGAGATGTCGGTAGTCTCAGCACAGTTCCAAGAACAGCGCTGTTTTATTAACATGGCAGGCAGAACATTGTTTCTATGGATTTTGCATAAATACTGTTTAGAATTTTATTTTAATTTCCTGTCTGTGGGCAAGCTGGATGCAAAAAAAACACCCTAATAGCTAAAGTTGTACACTAAGTTATATGGGTGAGCCACTTCGGCCAATAACTGCAGAACGTGGCTCTGGGTGCTTGGAACTCAAACTACATTTCCAATTTAAAATCATCCTGTAAAGAGATCAGATTTTTCTGATTAAAACCTTGACAGTGGTTATATTTAATATCCACATCTACATTCCGTGCAGTGCTTAAATTTAATCTCTGTCTAATAACAAATTTACTTAAATGATATTGACTCAGCCAGAAGACTGAAGCATCTCCGATGGGATATTTTCACAAAACAAAACAAATTACATAACTTTTCCTGCCTACCCCCATAGAGCAAAGTGCATTATCTGAACACCCACACTCACCCATACAGCACACAGTAAAGAGACTGAGCTCCTTGCTCAATAAAACAGCAATAATTACATCATTCAAAGATTTTTCTGTGCTGAGTCTGTTGACATATATGTCTAGTTGGGGAAATTAGTTCCAAAATTTAGGAAGAAAGCACACTTTATGATGAAGTCTTTCAGCCTGTGCTCATTTATTGTGCTGTTTCTGCTTTTCTACACCTCGCAGCTTTCATTTTCATGTGTGCAGTAAGTACTGCGATAGGAGTAACTGCAAATGTATTTGCGAAATGTGTTATTACCATGGACATCGCTCCAGGTCTTCAGCCCCATGTCTTTTGTAGAAGCATCTCTTTGCCTGTATCCCTCTGCATCCCAGTGTGATCATTTCCATATCAGCCTTTGGGGTCCATCTCAGATCCTGCCCCTTGCATGCATGGGTGCTTGCAGGCACAGGGAAGAAAGCTGCTTCTTTGTACTTGTTGGTTTTTTTTGTTTTTTTCCTTTTTTCTTTTATTTATTTATTTATTTATTTATTTAAACAGAAAGTACATGAAATGATCTAAATTTATCACAGGTTATTGCGAAGCAAAGAACGCATTCCATCCACACTTAAAGTCATCAATATTTATTTTCATTTTATTTTTAAAAAAGGATGCAATTATTTTACATAAAAGCATTATTTTCACATGGACAAGCCGATTCTCCCCACACCAAAATTCTTTTAATTGACTGTGACACCAGAATGATCTCAACACGTATTTGTTCAGCTGAAACAATGTGAAAAAATATACTACAAATGTAACTGAAAGAGTTTGATTATAAGGCAGAGATATTGAAGTAAACACTGTAATACATGTATTTATGTTTGAGGAGAATCCACTAGCATCTTGGAAATTTTAAGAGATACTCAGAACTGCAGTTGAAAACGGAGCTAAACTGTTGATGTTAAGGACGCCAGGTTTTTTTACAGGAGAACTTATGACAAATAAATTTATGACCACCTTTTAAGGCTTTGTATAAAGTCCCTTATCTTCAAAGAGCCCTCTTTCTCCTTTGAACTTTTGCAAGGAAAGTGATATAAAGCTCGGAGAGGGATAGCATTCATTTCAATTCTCACCACATTTACTGTCAGCTGAAGTGTTTCAGTACCTCAGAACTAAATCATGTTCAGCTGATGCCACAGTCACTTTCCCAGACCAGACAATAACCACCTGAATTTCTGCAGGGCGCTTGCAGCCTCTTCTGATGCAGCTCAGGGGGGTGCAGATATGTTCATGTGTGTGTAAGAATATTTGGAGAGTGAAGCCCGCGTTGTCTTCCCCTCCTCTTCATCGCCAACATCTTTTATTGCAGGAGGCTTTTGCTTAGCACAGCAGGTGAAAGTGGCCAGAAAGCCCGTGCGGAAACGCTTGTTCATGAAGCAATATATGATAGGGTTCACGCAGGCAGAGGTGTAGGACAACAAGTGAATAAAGGAGATGGGAGCTCCCGAGAGATGCAGGTCTGCTGAGGTGGTGTCAAAGGCGCGCCAGGCATTCACGCTGAAGATGGGAGTCCAGCAAAGGAAAAACAAAATCACTATCACCATCAACATGCGGATGACGAGTTTCTTGGCCATCAAGTTGGCAGAAGAGCTGCTGCTTCTCGCCCTGTCTATTTTGCTGTTGCTCAGAACAGAGAGCTGTTGCAATGGCACTTTCCTTTTCCTTTTGGATTTTTGCAGGTAGCATCCGTCCCCATCCTCGTATTTGGCGCTGCTGGTACTTATTTTCCTTTCTGTACACACAAAGTAGCACTTAATTAGACGGCAGAACATTTCTGAACAATGTTTCAAAATACAAAAAGAAGGGTGGAATCCAAGTCTAAATAAATAACGTATGGCTGAACAACTGCTTCAAAGAAAGCACTGTCCTAATTCTGCATCAGTCAGCTATTGGCTGCTCTGTGTCCTCTATCCCCCAATATTCTCACATCTTAAATCTACACAGATTGATGCAAAAGAAGTGAGAACACTGTTTGCTCAAGTATGTACTCAAGATAGTTTTCAAGTTTCTATGCTTCTACCTTCATTTGTCTTTTTTTTTTTTTCTTTTTATGGTATTTATTGACAGAAATGGTCTTACTCCATAGCCAGAAAAACAAAACAAAACAAAGCAAACAAACAAAAAAACTTGATGTTTCTTTAACAATTAGGAATTTAAAGCATCCCACCTGATGCTTTTGCAAACAAGCCACAGGTGAAGAATTATTGGCTAGAGAGTAGTGGAATCACTTCAATCAACAAATAAATGCATCTGACAGCTTCATGACCATAACTATGAACAGCTATAACAATATTTGCAAGTAGAAATTTTTCCTTATATTAGCCTCAAGTTAACTGCTCACATTAAGCTCTAACTTTAAGAAATAACCTAAATGTGTTCTTACCTCTTGAAGATTTCCTCTGGCTGGCATCAAATTTTATTCCTCTGTAGAGTTCCAAAGAAATTAAGCCATATGCAACCATCATTATAATCCCAGGTATAAGAAAGAGGATGAGTAGCAGGAAAGTGTACCTGAGGAATCAAGAGACAGGCAGTGACCAGGGAATAGTGCAAACCACAAAAAAATATATATTTTTTTTCTCCTTCTGAGAATCTTGGGAGGGGGATTTCAAGATTTTGCTGACTTTTTTTCATGCTGATATGAGGTTTCATTTTGACAGCCCTGGAAATCAGAAGCTTTCAACTTCTCCTCCTCCCTGTTGCACCAGAAAAGCACAGCAGGAGCAAGGCTCTCATGGCTGCAAAACACCCAGTGTCCTGCCTCCCTCGGCCCCAGGGATGTGGGTGCCTCAGAGGAGGCAGACAGGCCCTCTGCCCATGGGGTTCCCTGCTGTAACCAGACCAGTGCTGGATGCCCTGCTGCTCTGAATGGTGTAAGAGCTGCCTTGCATGAAGCCACCTGAGTAGCTACTGACCCTCGAAGGAGCCCCTGGTTCTGGCTGTCACTACCAGAGTGAGGTTTGGCTTGTGCAAGCCTCCTGGCACACACAGGAGGGACGGAGCAGCTACTGCCGGGGCTCACAGCCCTGGGGCCTTGCAGAGCCCCTTCTGTACAGGGAGCACCTCTTGCTCGGTTGCACATCGGTGTCTGACTTCATCAAAGGCAGCTTCTGTAATGTGAGTGCTGGTTCGGGAAATCATTCTGTTTAAATATCTCAAGAGTCAGCATCTATCCTGCTTGCTGAGGCTATGGTGTGAACTCACTCACGCACCTGAGAGTCCACAAGGGTGCTGTGCAGAAGAGAATTTTGCCTGGCAACCTTCCTCCCCACCTGTGCTCACACTGGCAAATTCCTGAGACTACCAAAACCTTAAATGCAGCTTTACTGTGTTTGGGGTACACCATGCTGAAGTGGTGCGTACTGTAATCTTGTTCCCAGTTCCAACTGACCGTCAGGAGCCAAGAAAAAATAAATAAATCTTACTTCTCAGTGCCAGTTAAGGAGTTCAGTCATCGTGCAAGGACACAATGTCTAAATAATACCACTGCTTGATAGTGCTACTATTTACTCTGCCTGGAGAGGTAGGACTTGGGGCACTGTCTCCCCCCTCACTTTTCTGTCCCTGTTCCCTACAAGTGACCAAAAGGCTGAGTTCTCGAGAAGGGTGTTTGCAGACTCTCCAAGTTTTCATATTCTATCCCTCTGCTTCAGAGGACCCTCAGACAAACAAAATAATGCCCAAGGCAGCACACTGAAGGGCGCTTGTATGTGCTTTTTTCTAAGATTAATCATGGATTTCTCTGAAAATACTGTTTAACTAAGTTTACACTTAAATGAGTGAAAGCAAAAGTTATACCAGAGTCAAAATGTAAGCAGCTTAAAAATGAGATTTTTTAAAAAACTTTTTAAATGAGCATGATAGAGGTGTAAATATTTGCTGAAGGATAATACTTGATTTTCAATAAGCTTAATGCTACCATGAAATCCCGTTTTCCACTAGATAATTATGCATTTGCAAACAGTCAGTTATATCTTACCAGGACTGCTGAATGACATCACTTGGCCAAAGGAGCCGACACATGTTTGCTGTGCTGTTGTTATACTTGGTAAAAGGTACCAGTTTGCTGTAAATTGGGTATGGTGACATGATAGTAAAGGAAACACACCAGGTAGCAGCAATCACTTTCAAGGCGTGAGATTTGGTCTGCCAGACCCTGGACTGTAGAGGTTTGCAAATGGCACTGTATCTCTCCAGAGAGATGGCAACCAGGTTGAATGTAGATACACTTACAGAGATACCTGTGCGTATGAAATAAAGACAAAGGTTATTTTCTTCTTTTAAACAATCTTGTTATTTTCAAATAGTCTTGCTAACTTTCTATATGCACGGAGAAAAAATATATAGACACTTCTCTGACTCTACAGGTCCAAGGGAAAAGAGTCATTAAAATAAAAAATATATATAAAAAAAAAAGACAACACCACAAAATTCTGATAACAGGGAAAAAAGACACTTTTCTTTCTAACCCTTCTCTTTACTACTGTGATTTATACACTACAGTAATAGCACTTCACTTCAAACAAGTGTCTGAAACTGGGATTATGCTGTTAGTTACTCTTTTAGTCATAGTTCATAGTCACTAGTCTATTTTATTTTTTTTATGTGTTCAGCTTGATCGGTGATCTGATTTCCTCATTTAACAGAATTAAATGTTACCAATTTTATTTAAAAAATAGATGCTAACAGAGTTAAAAAAGCAGAAGAAATGAAGTCATAAAGCTGAATCTTTGTCCTCAAAGAGCCTTAATTTCTCCTGTTCATTTGTTATAAAATACAATGCAGTGATCTGTATTTCTGTCACTGAACTGTCCCAGTTTATCACTTAAAAATTATGAACATTATTGCTTAACTTTGTCACAATTTTTTTCTTTCATTGAATGAGCTTTGGTTTAATGATCTTTAGGAATGCTTAAATGTCAGTCAAAATATAAAGGGACAATATCTTAATATTAATTTAGTTTACACAAATTATCTGTAATTCAAAACTAGTCATCCTACATCTTAAAACAAAAAAAAAATAGAACATAGGTGGTAGAATCAATATCAGTGTCTATCTGTCAATAGAAACCTCTTAATCTGAATTGTTAATGGAAAACATCCACACTGATTCTTAAAATAAAACACCTTCATAACTGAAATGTGCGTGTTCAGAAATATTTCACTGTTTTTTGTTTTATATATATATATATATATAATATATATATAAAACATATTAAATATATATATATAAAACATATATAATTTATATATATATATATAAATTTACACAATGTGAAATAAAAGAAAGAGAACAATGCTTTGGTAATTTTTATGGCATTTATGGCAGCAATTCGTTATAGTTGTTTAAACATGGCCTTTAGCTTTACTGGTTTTATCTACGAAAAGATGTTGGTTTCCCATTCCCACTTTAGGTGTGTACTTTCACATTACCTCAAAGTTCTCAAGGGCGCAGGTTAAAGGCAAACCTGGCTTTCTGTAGCTGAGGGTCTTCTAAGGTAGCAAAAACTTTGTATAATGTTCTCTCTCTCTCTCTCTCTCTCTCTTTTTTTTTTTTTTTTAAGAAAAAGGGAGAGCCACAAGAAGTGTTGGAAGTGTGACAAAATCATTTACACAGACATACATAGTACAAACATTTTGAAACTCCTGGCTCGACCTTCACAACTGGGGGGGCACAGCCAGGCGTACAGAAGTGTTACTTCCTAAAGTCGGTCTGCAAGACCTGCAACTGCACAGTTTGCATTTTGTGGTTGCCTGTTGAGCTCTGATCAGACCTGCTCTGCTCTTAAAAAGCCCTTGCTCTAACTTCCAGCTCTGCAGAGGGTACCTGCTTCGGACTTTATTTATTTTTTTTTTCATGTATAGCTGCTACAAAAAATCTGTGGGCAAAACATGCCTTCAGTGAGATTGTACAGCTCTGTCATTTCTGATGGCAGATCCGGACACTGCAAATAGCTCTGTCAGTGATGGGTAAGCAAGCAGATGTGCCAGGTTCCTCATTACAGCTTGCAAAACACTTCTCACCTAACCTGGTCCTGTAAAACACTTTTCTGTGTAGTTAAAGTTCAGTGGGTACCTCTGTGTTTTGCTGGATTATGCTGAGGGAAGCAGAACCATGAAGATTTGCCCTATACAGTCATTTCTTGGTGGTTTTGGTAAATGTTCAATGGCAGATGGAAACACCTTGCTATTTGCTGGTCTTTAATGACCTTCTCACACATATCTCAACTAGTTTATCTTCAAAATAAGTATAAATTTCCAAGACTTACCCATGAAATAAGTGGCAGTTTTGCAAACAGCACTCCCGAAAATAAAATCTTTCAGCAGGTTGGGAATGAGAGTGAATGGCATGCAGAAGAGGCAGAGCATCAGGTCGCTGACAGCCAGTGACAGCAGAAACGTGTTAGTGACTGTTCTCATCCGTTTGTTTCGAATCAGCACTGTGATTACCAGAATGTTCCCCAAAACACTGAGCAGAAATATCAAACAGTACAGCAGAATCCGGATTATCTGGTGCAAATCTGGAAATTGTCACAGTGAAACATCAGGTATGAAGTGTACAGATCATAGATGGCTATTATATGATTCATTCTTTAATCAGAAAGGTAAAGCCTTTCAAATGCCTGTCAGCTTCTAGTTTTGCAGAGGTTTATGTCTTTATATCAATATAAAAACTGCAGAAGTTCTGAAACTCTTAAATTTATTTTGATCTACCTGAGTTGCATAACATTAAAATTGGATACACGCAATACAGTGTACTCCTGGAGAATTAAATACAACTTCTGAAAAGCACGTTTTGCTCAACGTACTTTATGTGCCCTGCTCAATCACCATGGAAATCCCTTCTTTATGCAAAAGTAAGAAATGATACAGCAATCAAAAACATATTAATACATGGATGATTTTTTTTCTAGCCTCACAGTGTTATAATTTCGTATTTAATCACTTTCATGCACAGTATCAGATCAGATAACTCCATTGCTATGGAACTGCTCAAAGAGTCAAAATCATGTTTCTCCACATCCTTACTAGAGCCGTTTACATTTTGTGCCCAATAATGCTACTGTCAGATTTCCATTTTCTCTGAAATTTGTTCCGGTTAGAGGTTTACCGTGGAAAACTATACTAAACCATACCAAAACCACACTATATTCTTTCCTGCCTGTTTCTCACCCTAACTTACCAGCAGTTAGTTGATTTTGCACCCCTCCCCTCCTTCCCCCAAAACCTCATGTGGCTGTTTCTCTGTCTTCCAGCTAGAATTAAAACTGCCCAAAAGATTCACTTTCTATACGTACCTCTAGAAGAATTAGGTGGATCATCCTCACAGAAAAAAGTGTAATTTTGCAAGAGGTAATCACACAGGATATCAGTGATGTTGGTGCCATTCTCAAGTAAGCTCGCTTCAACTATTTCCATCCTTCGGGATCCACAGGTTAGCTCCTAGGAAGAAGAGGGTTGGCTTGTAACTATCTGCCCATTCTTCCAGTAAACAATATCTTTCTGAATGAAGTCTTCAGGAGGAATACCAGAGAGGCAGTGGCAGAAGTAAGCTCTTTAACCATCCGTCAGGAACACCCTGGTCAGGCTGAAAACAGATTTATGTCAGTGGCATGCGAGGCAGTTCAGCAAAGCAGGGCATGCACACAGACACAATTCACACATATGCACACAAGCACACATCCCCTCCTGTACTTTTTTAGATCCACCCTCTTCTGCTACTGGCCTACTGTTGGGATTATAAACAGACCAGAAAAAGATTACAGCGTTAACCCCTTGCAAGGTTGCTTCTGCTCACATCTCTGCAATATTTCTCAGAGGGATGCTGCTGTTCCACAGCCAATAAATCACAACCAGTGAGAGATGAGAGTGATAAATCTGTCTCTCAACCAACAACATTTGAAATGGCCAGAGGAGCTGAATAAAAAGGCTCAGAAGGGAAAAACATCAAGAAGATTTTGCACGCCTTACATAAAAGTGATTGCTTTCTTCACATTTTTTCAGAGCAAACTGAAGACTGAGTCTGTAATTGACTCAGGAAAACAAGAGCTGCTACTTCTAGCTCATTTAATGAAGTGCTAACTTCATACCAAAGCTCTGTATGTGCCTGATCCAAAACCCAGTAAGGCCATAGAATGCTTCACAAATTTCAGTGTTCCTGGATCAAGCGCTATGAAAGTATGCCATTAGGATTGTTGGGTCATATAAGCAGAAGCCTAGACAATTTTTCAGTGCAAGGACTTGTATATGACTTGTAAACCTGATGAACTGATAAAGTACTGCTCATTAGTTATGCATTATCAAAAATGCAGCAATCTTGACTGCTTAAAAGAAGCCCTTTCTTCTGGGTTCTGCTTTGTGAATACATAAACACCATCCTCTTTGGTCTTGCACAAAGTCCTGGGCTGTTGACTTCCAGTATACAGCTTGTTTATGGGGAAAACAAACAAACAAACAAACAAACAAAAACCAGGTAAATTAATACTATAAATGAATCCCTGCTACTATTCAATTGAAAACAAATTTCACATTTAAAGTCTCTTCTAATAAGCAGAGCAATAACAGGTCCTTAATAACAGGCACAGACTCCTTAAAGTTGGTAACACAAAGACTCACAAAGACTGGAAGTCCTGGATTTCTTTTCCAGTCTCTCCAACCTTGAATTATAGTGCCATGACTGGGAGAATAGATTGGAAAGTTCCAATTTCTAAGTTCCCTTTTCTTTAAAAACTTAATTATAACGTTTCCTTTTATTTTACATATTACTCTTGAGATCCCCTCTCTCCTTTTTTCTTTTTTTTCTTTTTTTTTTTTCTTTTTTTCTTTTTTTTTTTTTTCTTTTTAACCTAGATAAAACAGACCCAAGCTGGCAATCAGTGTATACAATGTGTAGCTGTCTCATCAGAAAGAAACATTCAATCCAGCAGAATTCAATTCCAGTTTCGAATGTATATTATACTGGTAGGAAATTAATCCAGAATGACATGTCATGTTTTATTTTTCTACTTGTGAATCTCAAAAAATTATACTGCAGAAATAAAAATTGAAATCTGTTTCCATTTTTACAATGATTGACCATTAAGCTTGAACGTTTGATACCAATGTTGCTGAAAAAAAATGATTTTCTCTTTGCTGCCTAATTTGGCTTTATGTTTTTTTATGCTTTATAAGACTAACTTGATGGATTTTAATAATCAACCACTCTATTAAATGACAAATGTTGCCCATTTAATTAAACAGTTGTTTTTTTTCAGTTCTAGTTTTGTATTTATTTTGAATTATTCCTATATTTCCTGAACATCTTCCCTGTCAATTTCAAATTATTTTAACATCCCCAACATCTGAAGTGGCAGCCAAAGCAGGTGATAATCTACAGGAAAAGTCACGGATGCTTTTTGGAAAAAAACTGCAGAATTTAGATTGCTTTTTCACTCTTATTCAGAGGCAAGAGTGAGATGCAGAAAGTCTAATCTGAGCTGCCAAAACTTCCTGTTAACAACTTCTCTTTCTTTTGAAAATTACTTCCTGTTGAAGAAAAATCAACAACAAGCCAGTCTCAGCCCAAATTTTGTAGATATGTCTGCTTTTCTAAGGTGTGCTTTGCACTTGAGGATACCGACCTTGCTTTCCGCATCTGTATGCCAGTCAGTTCATTACAGTCTTCACATTTTAGCACTGGCATAAAGGAGCATTCGATCAAAATGATTTTGACCTTTACATTTTTGGTTTGAGACTTTTGCATGTCAAAAGAAGCTATTATAATTATTTTCAATTATTATAATGGTCTGACCTGCTGCAAACCACAGGCTGGTAATTGTGTTTACCAATTCCTTTACTGAATTAAATAACCTCTAATGCAGTTAGAGTCCTTCTGTAAGCAAGATGTCAAACTGTTGTTCTGGGCATATTCTTAATGTGGGAGAGATCTTTCTGTACTCCTGGCACCTTCTATTAGATCTGCATTAGAGAAATGATTGGATGTGCTTTCAGTTTCATTTGTATTGACTGGTATTAGCAGTATTACCTTTATTACTTTTTACCAGACGTGTTGCTGCTTGGGGTTGGATTCTCTCTCAATTAATTTTTCAGCTACAGCTTTTACACTGGTTATACCACTGTACTTCTGGGGTGGGGCGTTAATTGTTGGTGTTCTGATGAGTTGTAGATTCCTGTACCGTGAGGAGGCAATATCATACTACAGAGAAAGATTAATTTTTATTTATTGTTAGACATAGACCAAGACTGTGCACTTATCATCTGCTGGGCTCCAGGACCCAGTTGAAAAGAAGGTAAGAAACAGAGTGAATGGAGACAAGGGAGAAATTATAGAGACACTGTGGGAGACACAGTTAGTGATCAGGAGGGAAAACTAACTTAGGGGAACCACTGGGGACTCTTCCAGAAATGAAATGCTATCGAGGAGATGGCACTGAGGTTATTGTCCCGTGCTCTACCAAGACAGACAGTGAATTATCATTATGAAGGCAGCTTCTTCATACCTGTCATGACTTTGTCATGTCTGAAGAACATCAGGTTAGTTATCCATTCCTTGTAAATGAGCTGTTTCACACCTTACATGAGCACTGTCACCCAGGTCTAAACCTCTTCTAATTCATGTACAGTCTTTAACAGACGTTGTCACATAACGATGAACCAAGGATTTAAATAATGTCATATTGACTTTTAGTGGTTTTTGTTTTGTTTTGTTTTGTTTTTGCTTTTCCCTCTGTTCCTTTCCTAATAATTCCTGTAATCCTATTTGCCTTTCTTATGACTACTGAGAACTGAACTGACGTTTTCAAGGAAGAATCTACTCTAAGTTCAGTAGTCTCTTTTCTGCATAGTAATAGCTATTTCAGAGCTCCACTCTGTTCATGAAAAATTATAATTGTTTTCTACTTGGCAGTGATTTTTATTCAGCCTGTTTTTATCAGAAAGAGCTTTCTGCAACTCTTCAAAGTCCTCTTTTTCTTCTCCCCTCCTTGAATGATTTAGCATCAGCAGATTCTTTCATCTCACCCCTTTTCCCATGTTGTGTTGCATTTATGAAAGTGATGAACAGCTGTAGCAAAGCTTTCTGTGAAGCTCCGTTCATAATTGCTTTTCACACCTACTTTTCATTCCTACTTTTTATTTCTAACCTTTTAATGATGTTGTTCTCTGTTTCATTTCGGACCAATGGTCTCCTATTTGTCCATGTTCTTTAATTGCTGCTGAACTCCCACTTCCATAATTCTCCTAAATCTCTCATAATTCTGGCATGCAAATCCATGCCAGCTTTCCTCCCTCATCCCAAGGAAGTCCTCCAGGACTGTTTGTGAACAATAATCGCTGAATGTGCTAAACCATCCCAGCCCTTTGGAAGCTCCTGCTGGAGAAGCAATGAAGACACAAACCAAGAAGTCATACAGTAGCTCAGTAATGTGGGTTATGCTCATAGCACAAGGGAAAAATGTATGCTGAGGAAAGAAAACAAGAAGCCCAAAGCATGCATACAAGCTGGGACTGACATGGATGTATCCTACAGAGTTATTAGTATCTTCAGCAGCACAGCCACCACTGAATCACCAGTTACTCATGGCTTACTGGCTGTGTGTCCACGGGATGATCAGGGGAGTCAGGAACTTGGCTGCCAAGGAATTTCTTCTGATTGCCAGCCTAAGGAAAGACTGCCTTTTTGGGGGGAATCATAGAATATCCTGAGCTGGAAAGGACCTACAACTCCTGGACTCAGGAGGTCCAGATCCATGTTTGAATTGCAAATTCTTTTTTCTGGATGTGCAAGCTTAGGGTGACATCTTTCAGGTTTATTGTCCTGCACTACAGTGTGAGCAGACTGGCTTCATCCCTTATCTGTCAATGCAAGCCCACTGGTGGTGGCAGTGCCAGGCTCTGCACAAAAAGCCTGCCACAAAATGCCATAAGGAAAAGGAAGAAAAGGATGAAGTGTCAGAGAATTTCCCCTAGCAGAGGACTCAGCACAATGCTCCTCACTGATGGAAGTCCTACACACAGATGTGTCCATATCACTACATAGTCCCCCCAGTAGTAGTAGTAGTAGTAGTAGTCAGTACTCTCAGTAGCAGTAGCACTGTGCTCTCAGCTGGTTGAGCCTGGCCTGGGCTGCAGCTCAGTACAAGAAGCTCTGTAAACCCAGAGCATCAGCCCCAGCTGTCCAGGGGTTGGGCCTTAATGGGCCCGTTAACAGTGTCAAGGCATGCTTCCTAAGTACATCCAAGAGGCCTAAAGCCAACAAGGCCTAAAGCCATGCCAGGAGGCTCCATGGACCATACGGCTTTGGTGAATGCTTTTTTTAGCATTCACCAGGAATGCTAAATGGACCATACTGCTTTGGATGCAGTCTGCTTTGTGGAGCCTCTTGGCAGAGCAGCAAAGTGTGAAGGGAGCAAATGAATGGAGGGTGGTGTGGCTGAGAGGCACCATATAGGGCAGAGACATGAAAGGTTGTAGGCTAACTAGTGAGCCATGATTCACTCCAGAGGTATTAAATTCAGCCAAAAGCAAGTGTGGAACAAACGAGGGAGTGCTGTCTCAAGCAAATCCCGACAACTACGTAGTTACAATTTAAACAAACTGGATCATCTTGTTCACAACTTCAGATCTCTAAATCTGCAAGGTGTGGCTTTCTTCTACAAAAACATGGACCAAATGTCCAGAGATTTTTATCTGTTTCTACAGTACCCACCAGTTTTCCT